GTAGACAAGCCTTTTGGAGCTAGGGCTATGACCTTCTCCTTGAATCACCTCCATGCCTTCATCATGTGCAAATAAAACCAAACACCCTAAAGGCTATTTTACTAAAGCAGGTCCCTTTTTCCCACCCCCAATCATCCATCTGAATACATTCAGGCACGCAAATGTCGCACATTACACTTTGAAGTCCAGTACCACAGGGCAGGGTTGGAACTACATTAAAAAAATAATTTAAATCACTAAAAAGAAAACTGCAACAAAAACATTCCATATACAGGATTCTGAAAAGCAGCTGAAACCTCTTAATGGGAACATCTTCATAGCAAGTATCCCATTCTCTTTATCTGATTATTCCCATTAAGCAAACACTATTGAAAGTCGATGTACTGATCTCTAATGGCAGTAATGTTGCAAACAGAACACTGGTCTGGATCACTTAACTCTCTAATTCTATTGTGCAACATTCATACTCACTATACTTCATTTAATAAAAACGTTAACCAACACTGATCACAAAGATTTCACCAAATGAGTTACTACTGCTTTGATTTTAACTACATCCAATTGCAAATCCAGTAATGCATCCATCCTGCACCAAGGAAGGATCATGTCAACAAAGCAGCAGCCATGCTAACAGCAGCCAAGCGCTTTACATAATGAAAGGGAAATTAATCCTTGCCAGATTAAATGTCTCCATAAACTGGTGTGGATCACAACTGTGTGTACAATGAAACTTGTTTTTTTTTTAAGCTCATGCTGATCAGGCAGTTACATTTGAAGCAGTCCATACCCAATACTTATTTCGTTCCAAACAATTCTGATACACTGTGCTTTAAAATGATCACCGGTGATCCTGACCACAAGTACTCCTTGAGCCAAATGTTAAGTTTAAATCTAAGAAATGCCAGTCTTCCCAGTTCCACCATTCAAAGTCCAACTGATTCAAATCTCCACTGCCTGTACCCTCAGCTGCACCCTATCACCCGAATCCATGCCACATCGGCTCCCTGTTACAGAATAGATCGATTTCGAGATCCTCACACTCACTTACCAATCACTTCATGCCCGAGCACCTCTCTAACCTGTTCACATCCCAGTCTTCTACACATTCCCTTTGTTTAGACTGCTCGGGCCTTCTGCGCATCATTCAACCCTTCCTCTCCACTATCGGTGGCCAAGCTTTCACCACTCGCCCAAACCTCTGCAACAACCTGCCTTCATCCCTCCAACTTGCCACCTCTTTGCCTACCTTCAGAATGCACCTAAAGGCCTTCTTCTTTGACCTCGTCTTTCTCCCCAGTTTGGGGTCAAACTACTACACTGTTACTCCAATATGCAACCTGCGTGAAAGGAACTGTATAAATGTAATTTGCTGCAAATGTTAAGTTTGATTTTAGGAATGGGGATCCAGTTATTCACCACACAATTCTCCCACAAAATATACAGTCAATTCACTGTACACTATATTCTGTAAGCGTTTTGAGACATCTCAAAGATGTGATAAGGCGCTATATCAAATGCAAGGATTATTATTATTTCTCTTATGTCTAAGAATTCAAAGTGTAAAGTTGGTTTTATCTCAAAACCAACAATGGTTTAACAACTTGTAAAAAAAAGGCATTCAAAAGACATTTTGCAGCAAACAGAATCTATAGCTATCCTGAATGTTAACAAAGCCAAACAAAAATAGCACATGGCAAACAGCATCGTAGTGACAATATCTTTAATCCGACAAGTACTGAATTACAAAATTTGCAGAATTATTCCATAATCCTAGTTCAAACAAAATCTCAAACCTTGATCCAACCCACTCGTCTACTTGCCAGGAATGTATGATGATTGACCTGAAATGCACCTACACCTGACCTAATCACTCTTAAATCCACAAAGAAGTGTTCTGTCACAAACAACTGTTCATATAACAAAAACACAGGCCTTATGCCAGTTTGAGCTGTACAACAGGAGCTTGAGATATCCAGTTCTAGCTCTGTAAGTTTAGAGAATATTTCACATTTCTGTACCACAAAACTATTAAATGCAAATTGCATCAGGATGTCAGGTTGAAATGTGCATCCAAAGCAACCTGCCACATATAGATTGTGATTTTTCTTCTTTTAATAACCTACCATGTTTTACCCGCACGCAATACAAACAATGGATGCGGTTTGCCTACTTTGGTTTATCTTTACACCACAACAAATAAAATAAAGGAATGTTGGTAGGAACCCCACTGTGAAGCCACTCCAGTGTGCCTTCTGGATCATCCAGATCCATTAAGAAAAATTTGCTGTAGCATTTTAAAAAGTTTATAACTTTTACTTAGGTTATTCAGCTTATTGGCAGTTTAAATATTTGATGACAAGCATTTTAACATATTAGTTCACTCTTTCTTTGCCATAGTCATGCACCAATGGCCCTATTTCATTTTATTTGCACTGCAACAAAATGCATACAAATGCATTTTACAGACAATGTAAATGCCAGTCAAATTACCGGTGTTTCAAGCACTATATAAACGCAAGTTGTCGTTGTGTTGAAATTTTCTGCTAGAGAAACGTCTTAAATTCACAACCTCTGATTTGTTGTGGATGTGTTGCACTCAAAGACCCTTTTGTCAGAGCTGAGGGAATTCTTACTTGGCTCTTAAAGACAAGAATGGAAAGGCTTTCAGTAACCCTCTCTGGACAAGTGACTGAAATAGCAGCAGAAACACACATAGCTTTTTCCACAAGGAATGTTTTTGATATAAATGATTTATAAAGTATGTCAGCCCAGTATACCCCTTGTTACACTACAAGATGATAAATAATATGATGGTTAGAGTAATTGAGAGTCAGCATTTCCCGTAACTGCACGCAAATCAACAGATGATATTTCTCAGATGATGCAAAAAATGATTTGTTAGAAAACGTTCAGGGATATAATGTCCTCTTTGAGTCCTGATGTAGGATCTAACCAAGGAGGGGACATGCCCCTAAGCGGAAACTAAAAACATTTACATTTTTAAACAAAGGATTAATCCTAGAAAAAAATAATCTACTCTTTGTTGATGACAAGTTGGACAATGATGCAGGTCAATCAATGGGCTACAAGAACCAACAAAGACCAGAGTCTTCTTAACAGAGAAAGCAACAATGGGATATCAGAGATAGACAAGACCATTGGCACGCCATGCCACAGTTAGGAAGGAACTCACTGTAGGTTTGTTGCGAAGTAGACCGCTTGAAAGTGAATATTTGAACACTATATAAAACATCACAAAGTTTCAATTTAACCAAAATATTGTATCTTATAAATGGAATGTCAACTCAATGTTTCGCCAATGCTAGCGTCTTTCACCAAAGATAATGTCGGAATGCTTTACAATGACAAACACAAGTAATTACTTTCTCACCAACCGCTAAAACTGAAATGTACACAAATTATTACACAGTACAGCAGGATACCGAATAGCAGTAAGTAGTACAGTGGGGAGTAGGTATTGCTGCACAAATAATTCGGAGTAGAACAAAGCCTTCAATGGCAAAGGGCAAACAGTATGTAGATACTTCAATCACAAGGGGGGCAGAGCCTTCTGTCACAGGACATGGGCTCACACACGTCCTACGGCTGAGAGGGAGAACTCCCAAGATAACAGGATAGAACCTGTATCCTACCACTCATGGCCCAGAGCTTCTTTGTATTTAATATAGTGTACCATATGGCGGAAATGTTAAAAAATATAACACATCTGTGCTGCTCCATTTATGAATCTCCTCTCCCATTACCTTCATCCTCATCAATTTCACAGAGGTGAAGCAGACAAATACCATGTCAGCCAGGCTTTTTTTTATACTATATCTTGGATTTTATGCGACAGCTGTGACATGTAAAAGAAAACATTCTGCATGTTTTTTAATTCGGCTGATGCGAGCCAACAAAAGAGAGGCTGTCTCTCCAAACACAAAGCTGGGTCTTGACAAGAACCTTGTTTCCTTAAAGTGCTGATCTAATCACCGGAGCCTGTTCGATAACACCATCTGTTCAAGGTAATGAATAAAGCAAAGGGCCATTGCCAGAGATTCTAATAACATTTTTAATTAGGTCTTTTTAGTGAAGGCCTAAAGTTTCTGATGTGACCCTAATCAATCTCACAGACTGTGTAACCTAATATACAAGCTTTTTACTACTTCACCATAGGAATGTCCAATTCAAAGAACTTTTGATTCTTTAAGCAATTATGTCTAAGTCCATGTACACCCACCAAGAAATTGAGTAGACACTAGTTGACTGAAGGACAAAACCACCAGAACATGATCGCTATTTAGTCAAAAATTGGTAAAACTTGAAAATGTTTTAAGTCGATTTCAGCATGAAGCGGGGCGAGTTAAAGGACATTACTGGTAATAAAGATCTGAGGTGTTATGGCATTTTACTGAGTGTGAATAAAGCGGGGAGGCACAGAACTAGTAACGTGTAAAATCTGAATGCACATAGGGAAAAGCAAGACATTTCTACTTTTTAAATAGAAGTGCTTAAAGCAAAATATGACTTCCAAATATACAGTATATTCTACTATTCTGGTGCTCCCTCCCAGCATTCTACCCACGAACACTCCCACAATATTCAGTCTCCTGGTCAAAATACAATCCTATTCATTGCATGCATATGACACACTTTTTTCAATCAATGTGCAATACATTAAGTTTATCAATGTTGCACATATTCTGGGTTGGTTAAGAAATGGGCACAAAAAAATCAAAATCTTTTTCTGCCCATCTAGAAGAGGCTCAGATACTGAAAATCCTTATGCACAGGAACAGCTGAGAAGAGGACCGAATTAAAAATAATTAGAATTAAAAAACTATAAAACAAAAACACAATATGAATTGCAAATACAAAATGGTGGCATCTATCATCGGCTCGATACCATAGTAACTACACTGCATCAGCTTCTGTAAATGAGGGGTATGGTCGGAGGAAGGAAAGAACAGAAAATAACTCAAGTGAAATTTAGTTCTTACTTTGGGAAGATTGCGGTCATCTGAGCAGAGGCGTATCCTTTCCTGCAGCCACCTTCTGTGATATTTCCGTATTTATAGTTCAACTCCACCGGACTAGAGAAGGACAGACGGACAATAAGAACAACAAAAACAAAATCAATATGTGCTGATATATGACTGTTTCTCTGAACAATACCTTTTTTTTTAAAATCAGGATTTTAACTGGGTTATACTTGGTTTGCCTGGAGTTTAGGAATCATTTGCTTTTTCATTTAATTCTCCAGATTCTGGGGTATCAAAAAGCCGTTTCAGGATAGATACCTGGAATTATTTATTTACTCAGAGAATAATTAACAACTGGAATGGGTTATCAGAAAATGTACTTGAGGCCAGGACACTGGAATCATTTAAGAAATAGCTTGATGCTGTGGTGTAGGGCTGGAAAGGTCGGATTGCTGGAAGGGTGAGATAAAATGGGCCAAAGAGCCTTCTTCATCTGAACCGATCTTGTGAAGTTTTATAGCAGATAACCAAAAGTGTGTTACAGTGCTGTTCAATAGCTGAGTCTGAATAAACCACAATAGGGTATTGACCACAGGTACAATTTAAACATCTAAATTCCAGTTTTACGGTCAAATTAATGTTTTTGCTCTTGATTGATTGTTCAACTACACACATCTAACTATGAGACCTTCACTTCACATGTGCCAACCTCTGGAGTCTAGTTATTTCCCTGACAACAGTGATTCAATGATTATTTTGTAGTTCCTGCCCAAAACATATGTAACCTGAGACTGTTCCACAGAAAACTCAGGTTGCGGTATGAACTTTAAGCTTCCTCACTGGTGGTTACTTCAGATTGTAATGTAAATTGAAGTAAAGGGAAATTCTAAATCAATACTTACATTCGTGATTCCAACTTGAGCAGAAATCCCAGTCTGTCATATTCTGAAACAAATGCAGAAAGACCGCATCAATCACTGAACAAGCTCTGTACATCCCTGACTGTGTAGTATAGGGATACCTTATCAATTAATTGATCCCTGAAGTATGCTTAATTTACTATGAGCTTTTAAAATAATTTCAGAACAAAGATGCAGAGGATTGCTTTTATAACTGCTCGTTACCAGGACCATAAGCGAAAAATAAACCACGTCAAATGTCACCAAAAGTCACTGAGCTTTGTAAATACTGCATAATGACTAACACAACCACTTCATTAGCTGGTTTTGATATTCAAGATTCACCACTGTACAGAATGTTTTCTTCGCTGTAGTGTATGTATTATGCTAAACAGACTCTTAATCCTCAACCTGTTTTGATTATGAAGTTTGCTGCTGTTCTTACAGTAAACACGGATTCATGAGGAACATGTTGATTAGGTTTGTTCAAACAACACTATCTGACGGTAACTTTTCACCCTGTTACTAGTGGAATGAATACTCATTTTAAATAATAATTCTTGCATTTGAAACATCTCAAAGTGCGTCAGAGCTTTCTGTGAAGTGCAGTGATTGTGTTTTTTATAGGTGAACACGATAGCCAACTTGCACCCAGACATGACATGAATGACTTTTTAACCAGGGGATATATGGCAGGTACACCAGATAACGCTTCTTTCTCTTTTTGAATAGCGCCATGGGATTTTAATGTCCACTTGAACATGCTTGGATCAGCTATTAGTTTAATTTAGGGATTTTGATTACTGATAAATTAGTGTATTTCAGGAACCCAATTGAGTAGTTCTGGCTTGCTCAAAGTAGCACCTTCATCGGTGGCAACTAAATCTCAGTCATCAGCTATCAATCTATATCTTCTCCCATGCCTAAAAGTAGTTGACAAAATGAATAATTGTAGTTCACATCAGTGGCATATATTTATATATATATGTAATTCTTGAATTTGAAACATCTATATATATTTTTTCTGAAGTTAAAAACTCCATATTATACATAATATCCATAAAGCTGTTTTCCAACTAAATTGTTATGGTTCAATAGTTAGAAATAAAGCCATGTAATGTCAAAAGGCAATTAGAAAATAAGTGGATATTACAGACTAACTATTATTCTACAAATACATTTAACAATCTTTCCCCTCCTGCTATGCTGAAGTTGTTTAACCATACAATTTGCAACAAATTAGTATGTTAATATGCAAACAGTCCGATTGGCATGGCCATTGAAATTCAGTTGGACAAAGCTGAGGAAAACAGTAGTGTTTAGAGCAATATTAGTAGCTATATTTCTCATTATATTGCATTGACAGCGTAAAACTGTTCCAAGTAGAAACTAGCGGCCTTTGGACCACACACACTGTACAAAATAAAAAGCTTAGACACAAGGGCAGCCTCCAGCATGTCAACTCTTGCAAGTTAGCATGCGATGGGTAACTCTATTACAACAAGTGTGTTTGCACTGCAAGCTGTCACCACCTGGATCCAATCTACTCACTCCACTCACATACAAAGCAGTTCTTGTAGTACTCCTGCCAATCGCTTTGAAGGTGGTTATTCAGATCACTGACACCCATCAACACTCCTCACTCAACACCCCACTGTATATCATTGTCCAATCAGTCGGCAGAGATACGACACTTGATAGAACCCGAACGAAACAGAGGTGGGAACTGTGGGAAACGGACTCCGAATTAAGACTGAATTTAATCATTTTCAAAATTACCCAGAAAAGCGTTCAGCCAATCAATTAATAACCGGGTTCCTTCTTACTGCTAGGTAAACAGAGGTGTGAACATATTTATTGCATAATGTATTGTTACAAAATACAGTATGTAATAATAAATGCAAAAAATTCTGTCCCAATTGACATTTAGCATACACAGAAATGACCCAGTTTATTTAGATGTATGCAGATTCCCCAGGTAGAGGAACTTGTTTCACTGTTACTGGACCTACAGAAAGGAAGATATTGGACATACATTAAGGAAGAAGAATATTTGGGACAATACCCATCGCAATTTGCTCAGAAATACGAGATCTGGTAGATGTTTAGAACAGTACTCTAAAAAGTTGTTGAGACAGATCATCCCAAGAAGTACCCTGTTCGACAGTTATGCTCAGGATTGCTCCAAAGCCCTGCACCAGTGTGCGCACAGCAATGTTCTACAATTTCATTTGGAGGATTGGTGGCGAGGACACGAGGAGTAATTCCCTTCTCTTTCAGATAGTGCCATGGAATTGTCAAAGTCCACCTGAACAGGTAGACGTCAGGAGTGACCTCAGTTTGCAACAGCTTGCATTGATATAGCGCCCTTCACGTGGGGTAGAGTCCTGCATGGGGTGGGGGGGGGGGGGGAAGGGAAAAGAGGAGCTTAACGTTGGGGGGATTTTTTAAAAAAATTAACCAATTCTATTTCCTGATCAAAATTCAGTGACCTCTGCTGGAAAGTGCATGCATGTGAGCTTCAGGCAAGGATAGGATCAGACTTACTTTGATGTATTCCACAGTTAAATAGTTCACTGCCTGGGCTGGCAGATGAAGAATGGCCACTTAAAGATAATTTCACATCAGTGAGAAGATAGTACACATTTTTTTGTTAAATAAAAATCCCAGTAAATATTTAAGTGCTCTGAGATGGTTCTATTCATAGTCTGGCCCTCAATGACATGCCTAGTCAGGCCATAAGATGGGACCCTGTCCCTTTAAACTAAACTATGACAATGTTTGTAAATCTTCAAAGAAATGTCGTCCTGCACAGCTTACAAAGTCGGTTATTAGGAAAACGGTATTTGGACTAAATTAATTATATACAGATATCAGAGATGGCAGTTTCCCTCCACCCTGTACAGCTCTATAAGCGATTGTGACTTTTTTCAAAAAAAATCTTACATAATATGGTACAAATGAAATGATTAATAATATCCTGTCTTTCAGCTACAGCTTTTACATGCCTGACATCACTGCTGCATTTGCCATTTCCCCTTAAGATTGAAATGTGGTGGAGGAGGAATAAGAGACATCACCATTCATAGCCTCATTTATTAACAAATTAAGTGAAAGCAACACTTCTACTTGGTAAGGCTTATACTCACTCGACACATGACAAACCTTCTCAGTGACCTTTCCTTTAATTCTGCCTGCAACACGTGATTAGCCACCGTGTATTCAACTTTATTTTCATCAGGCTAAAGGTTAAAAATAATTGTATGCTACAAAAATTAAACTTGCCACATGGTGGTAAGTGTTTGATCCTAAATATAAACCACATCAAATTCCAATCATTTTTCATTGTGTTCAATGAGCATCAGCAGCTGCCAAGACACAAGGTCAGCTCATATTAAAATTGGAAGTAAACCCTCCACCCCCAGTCAAAGGAGTTTGTCAGATTATTACTTGAAGATAAATTATTGTAGAACTTTATCCTGAAGAAGTTTTTCTTTCTTAAAGAATCACCACTCGTATCACAATATTAGATATGCTGGAACACAAAAAAATTATCATTTGTATTTGCCAAAAAGTTATAATTAATGAATATCTTAATAGGTAATATAATTGAGAAGGAAAAGAAAAACTAGCCATACTGGTTCAGCAATAAAGTATTCACATCTCAGATATTTTGCAAAATATAGTCGTGAATGGTTTTATATGAAGTACTAAATATCCTATGGTCTTCACTGAAACTTTGGACATATCCCGCCTCCCCCCCCACCACCCCCGAAGGAAAAACAGTGACATACATTGTGCAGTGACAATGCATGCAGGTCAAGTAAAATAATAAAATGATCTTGGACCTCTCTTACACGCGTGTGCTGGATTTCCAACATGCCACACAGTAATACAACATGGGATTGTCATCTCAGTTATGCTATGAAATAGAGATATCAAGTAAGGCCAGGCGTTCATTCCATAAAGTCCAGAATATTGGATGACTAACAACTCTTGAATACCTCCTGGCAAAGAAGCAGACTGGCAGAGTTCTGAGGAAAGGAGTCATGTCTTCCACTGTAAGCCAGTGAAACCTTGTAACTTCCAAGAAAAAGTATTAACATAACAATATCATGATTACTAATACAGTCAAACCTGTCAGGGGACTATTCTTACCCAAACAGTAATCAATTCAGTGATTCAACATGTTCTAGGCAGAGAGAGGGTTAATTCCAAGACTTCCTAAAGTGAAACATCCGCTGGAATCTGCCAGCAGTATTTCCACTATAGCTAGCGAGTTGAAGGAAGCACAACGACCAGGCCTAATTATAGCTAGGATATTGAAGTCATTAAAACACGTCCAAATGGCCAAGGAAGTTTATGATGGACATTCTGTTCCAGAACTGCTGTCTATACAAATTGCACACTCAGAAATTGTTAGCTCATAAAAGCAGCCAATGTCGATAACCATCTCTTAAATCAATTTATTAATCATCGTGGGATTTGTGTGTTTTGCTTGATTTTCAGTTGCAGGTATTCATAGAAACCTTGGTTAATATTGAACAACCCAACAGATTTTCTTCCATTTTTAAGCAAGTCCATCTGGGTGAAGCTGGGAATGAGGAGAAATGTTCCATGGAAGTACTACACATGGGTCTTAGACTTCCTCTTTGGTATAAACAGCCAACCATCACATCTGCATTTGATTGTCATTACCAACAGTCAATCCTCACAATTAACTGTCGTATTCACAACTAGCAGCTGCAGCTTGGAGTAAAATCCACCTTTGTGGCCAATAGGAATGCACATAACTGTTTGAAATTGTTTAAAATTAGTCTCTAGACACTATCCTGCACAAAGGGCGCAATACAATTGCAAGTTATTATTTTCCTCCAACTTTGCTCTATTTCTTTTAATACAAAAAGAAATGTCACAATTCAGAAGAAAAATGTTTAGAAACTGCTACCGAGTGATTAAAAGGGCACATAAAAAGGTCTCAGAAGAGGGATAGAAAAATGTCTTCAAACAAGGTTCCAAGTCACATGCAGGAATACACACACCACA